GGCATATTTGCCTGGAATTCTGTGATTTTTAATTTTTCATCATGAAGCATATACAGGGTGTTCGATCACCCCTGGGAAAAATTTTAATATGAGATTCTAGAAGCCAAAACAACACGAAAATTAAGAATACTAATTTGTTGATTGAGGCTTCGTTAAAAAGTTATTAACGTTTAAAGTTTCGGCTGTAGAACATCAATCTTCGAGTAGACCTTATATCCAATGTAGTTTTTCGACCCATTTTTCTGGAGTAATAGAGCTAAATTAATACGCATTGTTTGAGTTTTGAATCATTAAAATCCTCCAATCCGTTCAGGAGTTATGACGTTTTAAAGATACGCATCAAATTTCAGTGAAACATGTCAATGTATGGTCAGACATCATAGTTTCGGTAAAGAATTTTTGTCTCGAAAGTGCATAGAAATTCGGGGGTATGTCTATTCACCAAAAGTGATTGTAATTGACCCCTGCAATAGAAAATAATTTTTTTACAATGATTTGAAATTTTTTAATTTCGACGAAAAATTTGCTCACTTACTGAATTTTTATCTCGAAAGTGGGTAGGAATTCGAGGTTATGTCCATTCATAAAAAATGATTGTAATTGACCCCTGTAACTAAAAATAATTTTTACAGAACGTTTTGAAAACTGTTTTTGTCATCCTGTCGATTTTTCTTAAAAATTCGTTTTTCATTTTTAGTAAATTTGTTTGACACTCTATAGAGAAGTTGTCTAATACTTTTTTGTAGGTACGCATGGGTTCTACTTCAGAAAAAAGTTTTATTGAAATATATTCATTATTGTAGGAATTATGGCTGATTGAAAATTGGACCATTTTTATGAGGTTTCTCTCATTTTACGGGGTGAAGGAATAACTTTTCGAACATTTTTGGAACTTCTACATATTCTTGACCAAAATACGCGTTGATTGCCTTTTTGAACATTGAAATCCCCCAATCCGTTCAGGAGTTATGACATTTTAAATATTCGCATGAAATTTTGGGGATTTCTGGTCTCACATTAGATTTTCGGTAAGGATTTTTTTTCTCGAAAGTGCGTAGGATTTCGAGCATATGTGTATTCATTAAAAGTGATTGTAATTGACCCCTGCAACCAAAAATAATTTTTTTAGAACAATTTGAAAAATTATTTTTTCGTTGAAAAATTTCAGCAGCTACCCGAATTTTTTCTCGAAAGTGGGTAGGATTTCGGGGGTATATGTATTGACCAAGAATTTTTTAATAACTTTTTAGCAAAGCCTCAAAAGAAGAAGCTGAAGAAATTGATATTCTTGATTTTCGTCTTATTTTAGCCACTACAATCTGTCATTAAAATTTTACTCATGGGTGGTTGAACACCCTGCATATCATCGTTGATGACGAAAAATGAAGTTAAAACTGCAAACAACATTTGTTACAAAAAGGACCCTGCGTTTCAATCTGACACAAATAAATCTTACGTTTTATCAAGTCTCACTGGTTTATTGCTGTATAATTATTATACGGCAATTATACGTCCAATTTGCAACCCTTCCAAGGTGTAGGTAGACATTTGTAGCCCTCAACAACGCAATTTATCAACAGCAATATTTTCAATACTTTCACAGAATAGTAAATTATAGGTCCATGTATCCCTGTGTAATATATTACGTACAGTAACTATAAATTTAAAGTCAGTAGTAGTAGATGGAAACGAATGGTAGAAGAATGGTGAAGACCTTCTTCTAAGTCTCAATTTGTTCATAACACTATACTCACGAGTAGACTTCGGATCTTTATACAAATTCAAATTTTTATCAATAAAATTAACGAAAAGGAAGCTTTGTAAAGCGTTGTCTCAACCCCTAAATACAATAATTCGCATCTTACGTATTTCTCGTATTTTTACATATTAATTCTACAGTTTGTTGCGAATTAAAATTTCCCATAAATGCATAAACATTCACAGTCTGCTTACGGGATACAAACAAGTACTTTAATTTGAAATTTATTTATGACACGTTAGTATATAATTCCTCCAACTTATTCAATTCTTTGTCGTAAAATAACGAAAGGAGGAGTCAAAGGAAGTCTAAATTTGCACTCCCGCGGAATAGACTATCCTCTTAAAGTCGCGGCCGAGTTTCCACGAGAATTCAAAATCTTTGTGGGCGTCGCTGGGATCCGCGAGGCCGTGGAAGAAACGGAGGGAAAATCGTGAAGATGCTTTGATATCCGACGGAAACACTCGTTAACTGGGAAACTGTTTGCGTTTGAAGCGCGCCGCTGAAGGGTCGGGGAATATGAATCTCTTATTGACTTCCTTCGTCCGTTGATTTTTTGCCGGGGTGGATTAATACACCGACGAGTCGTTACTGTTCGCCGGAGCGACTTTTGTTGGAACGAGCGACTGGAAACAAATAATTGTATTCCGTTCGTTTCCGGGAACCCATGACAGAGTTAATTGCAACGTGAAGGCAATTCTGGGAACGTCGCTAGCAGAGGATTTGCGATTGAACGGCGCGAGCCTCAAACAGAGAGAACTCTTTTCGGTCTAAACAAACAAATCTTTTGTAATTTGAAAACGACATCGACTTCGTTTATCGTCTTTAAGAGGCGAGGTGTGGTGCTATTTCGAAACGTAATCTTCGATCGTTCAACCCTTTGAATACCCTTTGCAAGTGATTTTAATGACTCTTGTTGAAACTTGAATATTTTTTTAATGAACGTTTTTCTGCTCATTTATTTGGAAATCTATTTTTCAAAAAATGAAAGTTGCAACCCATGTGTATTTCAAGGGCTAAACCTGCGATTAGAGTAATGTTAATAATACATGAATTATACATATGAAATTAACAAAATCATAATTACATTTGTCCACATAGTAGTAGGATTCCCTTTCTTTTGGAAATTCATAATTTGTAAACATATATTTCATCTATTTACACCGCTATCTTCTATCCTTTATCCTTCATTATTTTCTCTGAGCCCTGTAGCTCATTATATAAAAAGATTGTTTTAAACAAAGGCGAATATACTACATGTAATTGAATTAAATATTCGTTAAAAATGCACCAGAAATGTCTGAAAAATCAACCAGTAGTTTCTAGGGATTAAGAAAAGTGCTGATGGATACAGGATCTTGCAGAAGCATATGTTTGCAAATTACGAATTTCAGAAGGAGGAAAATTATAGTACTATACAGAAGTATAGAAGGACGTTCGAACTTTAGATGAGTGATGGATTGAGATGGAAAGATGGAGTTCAGAAATTGTGAGATGGGTGTCGATAAAATGTTAAAAGAATACAGCTAGAATAGTAAACACATGAACAAAGTTTTGTGCACGTGACAACAGAAATGATAAATCCATCCCTGTTTCCTAACCTAACTCGAAGGAACTATAATTTCAAAATGGTTTGAGATACGAGAACACATAAAGGGAAAACTATATGGATTTTGAAAAATCATCATTAGTTATCATTAATATTATTTATTCTTTTCGGTTGTGAATTTGCAGCCTTATTTTGTTGAGTAAACAATAAGAGAGATATTTCAGGAATGAAAATGTATACATTGTATTATAGAACGGTACCTTATATTTTTCGAAGCGTTATTTAATATTTTGTAAACTGGAAAACTGGGTTAAGATATTTTTCCAGAAAACCGCTATTTTCAGAGATATTCCAATTTCAACTTTTGAAATTACTATTCGTATCTTCCAATACATGTATTTCCTTGCGTACACATTCTGTAATACCTGCATCATATCTGCAAATATTGAGAATAACGCAAACGTCAGATATCAGAAACTGATTCCTATTTACAAACATGATAAAGATAGGAACGTATGCGACAGTGAATATTTTTGTTAAAAAATAGAAATGGCAATTTGTAAACTTGAGATTCAAATATTACTTGAAACGTTTAAATTCATTTTTGTAAAAAATTAAAAAACTCTATCGATTAATGCATGCAAGTGCAACTGTACTTTGCAGCTACATGCATGCACTCAGATTTTTGCTTGACGAGAAATTTTATATATTAATATCTATTTATATGTTATTATATTCATGTATATGTATGTATATGATACAAAACACGTGAGACTTTTTTCATGTCATATAATATTACGTATTGACGTAATTATCATATAATGACTGTTGGGAGATGACAGAAATGGTCTTAGAAGATGCAATTAGCGGTACAACTATTCCTGTTTATCGAATATATAAGTAGCATTCTTTATATGTTTTGAAAAATCACGTTTATCGTGAGAAAATGTTAATAATTGTATTTAATAAGAAACCACATGCCTTCCAGTAGCATTTTCTTCAACTTCTAACAGTATCCTATACAGTTAACGTTTTATCTCGCAAAATATGGGCCACTTCTATAAACTTTCGACGATTTTCGAACGAGGAAATAATTTTTCCAGTATATCGTTACGACGCGAACGTATTTTTTGTTTACGATAAACAATACGACTGAAATTTCGAACCTGGAAATTTATTCAAAATATTGCATTTCAATATGCAGTTATTAAAAAACGTTTAAAATTGGTTACGCGTAGTTCAGAATATAAATCAAATAAAATTCGATCTACATTCAACATCTTCCTATTTCATTGAAATGAATATTTGAATAAACTCGATTGAACTTCGATTTATATCGATATAATATTATATCGATATTATAACTAACAATTCACGCAGCGGATATAAACGAAACGATTCATCGAGAAAAATAACTGAATCAACAAAGATACTTGTACATGTCTTTTAATTTGAATTCTGCATTTTTCTTAACGTAAAAGCTTCTCGTTATTTCCCATCATTAAATTTGTTATGTCTCTAAAAATTATGGTGATATTTAATGTTGTCAAAGTTGTTATTATTCCATCTTGCATGTAAATAAAAGAATTTGATTAGTGCTCGTGCTCTTATTTACGATGTTATGATATGTGATCATGCGTTCCTATAATATAAGCAGATATTCTCTACAAATTAGTCCCATTCTCATTTCAGAGCCCTGCGAGAAAACGTATTGTTCCTGGGGAGCGACGTGCGTCGTGTTGGAGACCGGAAAACCTTCGTGCCAGTGTCCCGCCGATTGTCCTTTGACTTCTGAACCTGTCTGTGGCTCCGACAATGTGACCTACACTAACTACTGTCACCTACGACAAGCCAGCTGTCAGCAGAGAAAAACGACACGCGTGAGGCACCAGGGCGCCTGTGGTGAGTACAATTCTTTATACTTTTCTCAGGTCTACTGCCCTTTGAGCCTTCGAGTAAGCGTGCCCGCCGACTGGAACTTCAAATAAGGCGGGAGATCGATACTTTTAATATCGCGATATAATATACAGGCTGCTTCGGGACGAATTCCTCGCGAAAAAATTAATCAAAAATATCGAGCAACGATCTTTCAGTTCTCGCGGCTCCGTTTTCGAGAAAATTAAATTTGTTTATTTTCTTACGATTCTTATTAAAATTTCTGTTTATGCATATTGGAAAAGACTAACACTTAAATCGATTACATAAAGTTTGCGCAAGACTAAAAATTTTATAATATTTATTATTATAGGAATTGTATAACATAATTTTTTATCATAGAATTATTATCATAAGAATTATGAGAAATATGGATTTTGTATGTAACATGGACGTTAAATATACAGGGTGTTCGACCAACTTTGGGAAAAATTTTAATGGGCGATTCTGGCGGCCAAAATAAGACGAAAACCAAGAATGCCAATCTATTGATCGAGGTTTCTTTAAAAAGTTATTAACGTTGAAAGTTCCATCTGTAGAACAGCAATCTGTGAATAACTATATACGCGCGATAGTGGTTCTTACTCACAAAACTGTCAGACTGATGATACGGCAGTGAGTAGAGTTTCGACAAAATTAAAAAATTTCGAATCGTTCTGGAAAAATTATTTTTGACTACAGGGTTGAATTACAATAATCTTTGGTGAATAGACATATCCTCGAAATCCTGCTCATTTTCGAGAAAAAAAATTCATTACTGAACATATAATGTCTGACCATAACTGTCTGGTTACCCTGAAAAAAAAAAATTACAAATCGTTCTGAAAAAATTATTTTTAGTTGCAGGGGTCAATTACATTCATTTCTGGTGAATAGAGACACCCTCGAAATCCTATGCGGTTTCGAGACAAAAATTCAAGAATGTGGACAAATTTTTCGACAAAATTAAAAACTTTCAAATCGTTCTGGAAAAATTATTTTCGGCTGCAGGGGTCAATTATAATCATTTTTGGTCAATAGAGATAACCCCGAAATCTTGCGCATTTTCGAGAAAAAAATTCATTACTGAAAATATAATTTCTGGCTAGAAATGGTTCCCCGAAATTTCATGCGAATCTTTAAAACGTCATAACTTCTGAACGGATCGGACGATTTGAATGTTACAAAGTGCAAAATGCGTGTATTATGGAGCAGAATATGTAGACAGTCCAAAAATATTTGAAAAGTTGTCCCTTAGCCTCTTAAAGTGACAAAAACCCCATAAAAATGGTCCAATTTTCTGACGGCCCTAACTCCTAGAATAGTGAATATATTGGATTTAAATTTTGGGAGATAGTAGAGTTCATGGAAACCTACAAAAAAATATTAAACAACTTTTCTGTAGAGCGTCAAACAAAATTACTAAAAATCAAAAACGAATTTTTAAGAAAAATCGACTCTTCATGAATTTGTCAGCGAAAAAAAAATTTCAAATCATTCTGGAAAAATTATTTTCGTTTGCAGGGGTCGATTACAATCATTTTTGGTGAAGACACATACCCCCGAAATCCTACGTACTTTCGAGACAAAAATTCTTTACCGAAAATATACAGTGTGGCTGAAAATGGTTCTATAACTTTTTAACGAAGCCTCAATCAACAAACTGATATTCTTGATTTTCGTCTTATTTTGGGGTGGCCGAACACCCCGTATAGAAATCAGGATACAACAAAAATGGAGATCCAGAAATCTGGATCAGGATGAAAGAATAGAATGATGCAAACGACCTCGTCTCTTCGTCGAAGAAAACAGCAAGAGCGATTTGGAAAATTTAAATCATCGCGTTCGAAAAGTTGTCAGTGGCAATGCAAAACTAGTTCTGCGGTCTTCTCTATATTTTTTTGTCATTTTTTGCGCGAAACGGAAGACACGAGATTTACGGGTCTTGCAAACATTTTTCCTCGCGCGGCGCCAGCATTCGAGCGTTTCGATTCCCTAATGGCGTTCGCGGAACTTCAGCGAAAATTTCCACATCCCCTCGGGAGAGATCTGTCGATGCAAAGCGGAAACTTACCGCGCGATATCCTGCAACGATGATAATGTCCCGGTACCGCGGCCCTCTCCAGAACGTCACGTCATATTATTCGCGCGGATATCGTTGAACGTGAAAATAGAGACGCGAAGCCTCGATACACTGCGGACGGTTCGACGAGCGTGACGGGGAAACGGCACGAAGGATATAAACGAGAAGTTATGCCCGCGACTGAAATCAGGATTGACGTAAATCCATTTGTCGTGGCTGTAATTTTCAAAGAAATGTGCCCGATGCCTGGTTATTCCAGTCTCGAACAGAACAGACGAGTTCGTTTCGCACGCTCCAACGGGATACCACCACTCCGTCGTGTATTCCATTTCATTTCCGTACACAGTCCCTCGTTTAACGCAACCGACACAAGATTTCATTCTGTGCCCGCGATTCGTTTTAAAACACCCGTCTGACCGTGAAAACTACACTTCACCTTAAAAGTGTAAACAGATTGTTGAGAATGAGTAAATTTAAAACAATGATCCAATGGTTTACCATGTTTTGGGAGAAATGCTGTTATTTATTTGTTAAACACGGATCCTGGAAACCCACGATATTGTAAGTATTTCCCTTCAATATTTGTTTTGATATAATTTTGTTGGTACTGGTAACAATTATAAAATCTTTTATTCTCGTTCGTGGTTTATATTCAACGTTCCAGGCTCGTATGGTGTTCCCTTCGGAAATCGAGAAATAATTTTAAAAACAATAGTGTTATTGCACTCGTATGTCGCCATTCTGCATTTTATTATTATACATATATTTACATTAGTATTTAACTGTAGGGACCCTTGTTACAAAACTTAGTTTCTGCTTAAATATGTGTGTATATATAAAATAAAATGATTGGTAGCCTTCTCAAAGATAAATACGAGTGCTAAAGGTTAATAATTAGATTTTGCTTGTAGTAACGCCTCCGTGAATTATTTCTCGAAAACTACAGTCCAATTTTAATGAAATTTTCACAAAAGTATTTCCTGGATCCTTCTTGTATAATTTAAACTATTTTAAATCGAGTCAGATTATTTAAAAGTTGTATTTAACGCGAGCTAAATGAATACTGAAATCTAAAAGTAAAGAAAATGTTTCTGTAGGAAGAATATTAATTTTAGAAACATATGAATGGTTATTGACTTTCATTTAGAAAATTATACATCCTAAATACATTAAATTACGTTTTCATTGAAACCATTCAATTCCTGCCTGAGTCATTTTTTATACAGCGGATAGTCTACGAGTAATTCACTTTCATAAATAAAAATCGAAAATTCAATATGATAGAATAGATATAAATTAATTTAAATTGCAAAATATACTTCAAAATTGCGATTAAAAAATTTGAAGTAATCCATAAAAATTGTAACAAAGTTTGCTCGATTCTAGGTCTTCGCGTCTTCGCATTCTCAGTTTGCACCATTTTCTATTCCAATACAGTCGCATTTGCTTCGGATTTTGAAATTCTAACCAGACGCTGTTTGCGTTCGTCTCCGCTGTCAATCGAAGCGGCAAGAACATTTTCCCCGGGTCGGAAAATAAAACACGTATGCACGTATCGGGGAGAGAGAGAGAGAAACGTAGAAAATTTGAAGACATAAGGGATGCACGCGGGGGTGGAGGCCCCCGGAAAAACAGAACGCACAGTTCGAAATGTATTTCATCGCTCTCGGATCTCTTTTTACCCGTGGCCTCGTCCGGCGAGATCTCGCCACCATGAATTAACCATCGACCGATACCCGATTTTTGCTCCGTTAGAAAGCCCCGCCCACCTCCCCCAGGGTCGCAGCGCGCTGATTCTCAAAACGATCTTTTATTCAAACGAGCCTATACGCGCTTGTATCGACACGTTCCTCTCGAGCATCGGAAACAGGGGAACCCGTGAAAATCTTATGGCTTCCCGCGAAAGGAATGTATTACCCGCGTCGGGGACGAGGACCAGGTTGTACGTGTTCATGGAAATTACTTGGAATACTTTCAAGTTTCCCGCAATTCCACGAACGAACCGTAGGGGTTGAAGGGGGGAGGGGAGGAGGTCGTCGAGGAAATTCAAGCGTATCGCGACACGAAAATTGTCGATACTCCTGGCGCAGATTCGTATCACGGATGAATCGTACTATAGCGTACATGCAGACGAATTTTCCTTTCTTGCTAATCTTTTTGTACTCTATGAATCTGTTTAATCGCTTTGCATTATTAAGAGGAATAATCCGTACACGATTACTGCGGATATTTATGCAATTGTGGGAAAATTTAATTTTTAGAAAACTACAGAACCCACTTAATATGCAAAGATATAAGAAATATTTGAAGTAAGATACGAATTGTTATATTTAGGAATTGGGAGAACCTACTGCAAAGCTTCTGTTTCATTAATTTTATTAATAAGAATATGAATTTGCATGAAGATCCACAGTCTAGTAATGGGAGTGAAATATTCAAAAATAATAAAAAAAGATCGAGCTTTTCATGCTCGTAAATAAAACTTGACGGTGGAAATTATTGAAAAATAGCTTAATAACCAGATGCAGCCACGGGAAAAATGACACTTGTATGAAAATCAATATCACTTAGAAGAGAAACTGTTTTCGAATGTTACATTTGAGGTGTTCCATTATGTATCGATCATTTCTAAGATTGTCATACTAATTAAACAATTTTAGAGCCTATTTTAACTTTATTTAACATACAGTTATGTATCAAAATAAATATTCATAACTGTACGGTAAACAAACTTAAAATAGATAGTAAAATTATATAATTATGGATACTGAAAATTTGTCAAGCTTTTGATTGAAATCAAGTGTAACAAACTCTTATTTATGTTTAATCCATAAATTATACGTATTTCAAAATAGAATCATTTTATATAATTAAATGTTATAATATGTAAAAAAATAGTTATTTATGTTATAACATACAATTATATAAAATGATTCTATTTTGCAATATGTACATATAATTTTTGGATTAAATATAAATAAGAGATTGTAT